CACCCTGTGCAGTGCAGGGCACACAACGTGCAGTCCAGAAATATTGAACAGTGAGTGATTGACAATCCCCTGGCGGGGTTGCTAGGCCAATGAGATGCTAACTAAAGCACAACAAAAGAATCTCCATTGGTAGTTTGAATCCTTAACAAGGTAAAACCAAACAAACCTACATTAATAGGTTCTTATATGCACCAAAAACCACGTACAAGAATGATCATAGCAACCTGTTTCCTGGAAACAACCTAAATATGCATTCATAGAACTATGGGTAAACACACTGTGGTACATTCAGACAATGGAACACTATACAGCAAATGAAATCAGCAAACTACTGCCATATGAGACAACACACATGACTCTCAAAAACATTGCAAACTGAAACCATCCCCCTCAGCTTGGACACAGAGGACTGAAACCATAAACCACTCCAAGGCTCACTGTCTGTCGTGATGTGATCATTCCACAGTCTTTGCTATCATAGCTTTACTACTCCAGGATGCTGTTGCCCAGGAAAATAACTTTATTGTTCATTATCAGAACTTCTGGAAAGACATCTCTTCAATAGAAACATCAACAGTTTACATCTTGAGAGTCTGTGCACCTCTCACCTCAAAATCCTTGCTTTGCTGTTCCCATCAATCCTAAAAGATATCATAATCCTTATTAATCCTGTTGAAGCCTTCCCATCAAAAGACTCACCTTAAACCAGAATCAAAATCTCAAATTCAACTTTTTCCCTCCCTCTCCGACACGCTACCAAAGCTCCTTCACGGTGGTGTTCTCCCAAAATGGCAGGAAGCAATGCACCCAGCTTTGTCTTACAAACAGATTATTCCGGTAGTATTTCTGGAGCCAGCATTCAATAGCTTAATGTTTAGTGAGAAAAACCAGACACAAAAGAGAACATGCTTTATGAATCAATTTATATTAAGTTCAGGAAAAGGCAAAACTAATGTGTGCGAAGGGAAATCAGAACTGTAGTTACTCTGGGGGAGTGTAGTGGTAGTGGGGTGCCTGTTGCCTGCAAGGGGACCTGAGAGAGGTTTCTGGGTGCTGGACATGTCCTGGCTTTTGATCTCCATGGTGATGACATGTGTATAAACATATGTAAAACTTACTGAGTTATACATTTTTCTGTGCATTTTACTGCCTGTAAGAAAAGTGGTTTTTAAAAGATTTTTAAATGTTCAAAAATGTAATAGGTGTCAGAGATCATGGGGAGAGCTGACTGTAGTTTTAGAACAACTGTATTAGTCAACGGGTTTCCTTAAACAACATGGAGTTGGGTATTCAGAGAGAGCCCAACCTGGTGGCCTTGGTTTTGGTTTCAAACCATCCTAGGCTTTGTCTACATCTGAGACATGACGGGTCATTGCAATTGGCCCTGAACCCTGCACATGAATCAGTGATTATTTGTACACATGTAACAAAGAGGGTTGTGGTGAGAATTAGCAGGTGGAATACTTCACACAGAATCTTCCACTCCCAGGATGCAACTTGTGAATATAAACATCTTGAAGTAGCCCCTCTTGGGGAACTAGAGTGTTTCTCCTTTAAAGACCTGGTGTGTGGAATAGGGCATAGGGGGGTTCACCACCTCTTTCTCTATTTTAAGGATTTAGCTACATCAGTCAAGATTACATCCAGAGTTTTGTGTCTATAAAACTGGGAGAAAGGGCGGTGTAGATGGTTTCCATTCTCATTGTTTGACATTCACCCGTATTGTCTCATTTGCATTAGTCGTTCTTTTAAAATGCTATGTAGTACAGAAGTGTGTGTGTTTGTGTGGTGAGTGTGTGTGTGTGTGTGAGAGAGGGGGGGTGGGGAAAGAGAGGAAGAAAGAGAGATTGATTGATCATTTCCAGAAATTAACATGAAGTCTAGCTCCAGAAAAGCCTAGTAGACTTCTGTCACTGCAGAGTCATCAAAATAAGTATCTAAATTGACAAATATGCACACACAAAAATATTTCACGTGAAAAGGGAAGGAGGAACAGTTTGTACCCGCCGAGGGTGGGTGACTCCATTTCTCTCCTTGTTAAGACACGTTGGACCATTTTCACAAACCAGGCTGGGCCAACCCCTGTAAACCCACTCTGTTGTTAAGCCTTCTCTCCACTCAGAAAAGTAAAATGAGAAAAATTCAGGCTTTGCTACAAAATGCCCTGATAAAGGGCCAGTGCTCAAAGTAAAGATATTTCATTACTATCAGTTTTTAAGTGAAAAAAACAGATACGTATCTGATGTTTATAAAAATACCATTTAGTTGTTAGACTAAGTAGATACTATGTCCCTACATTTCCCAAACACAGAGCGGGAATTACGGCCTCTCCATAGTATTTTTAGCCTGTGGTTCCTGCCTGTCTCACCTGGCCCATCCCTCTGCCTAATTGCAGACACAATTATTCTCCAGTGTTTACCATAGAAGGACTCCTCTGTTCACCCACAAGAACAATGGTTTTCTCATACACTTGGGGAGTTTCCTTTAGACTGCGGGCTGCTCCCTGAATGATTTTAGGACTGAATCTTTCTTTTCTCGTTTTTGTTTTCTCTCCAAAAGTCATCTGTGTTTATTGGAGACACTTCAGTGAGTATAGATAAGCAAAATCTATCAAAACAAAAATCACCCAGAATCTCATCCAAATTACTTTTTAGCATATATATACATATGTTATGAATATAAATACGTGTAATTTTTTATTGCGCTGACTACATTTTATCAAACCAGTTCCTCGTTGTCTGACATTTAGGCTGTTGTCATTTCATTTGGTATAAACAATGTTCCCAAAATTACCCCTGGAAACTGAACATACTTGATGATTCTCTTAAAATATTTTTCTAAAAGTAAAAATACTGGGTCAAAAGGATGGGCAGACTTTATAGATTGTTGCTTTTCTGAAAAATTGCACCAAATCCCAGGCTTGGAAACACAATCCAGGAGACCTCACACACATACAAAAACCAAACTGTAGTGAAGATACCATTCCATCAGTTTCCTTAGATCTCAATTCAAGAGCTTGCTTTACTGTAAGGGGTGATTGCAAAATTTGGTAATTACTGTAAAAATGACACTCAGAGGGAATTATCTAACCTTGAGGCCATGTGTGCTATTCAGGTGATTCAGATTCTACAGGAATTTTTGTTTTTATGTTGCCAGGTGATAATGAGCTGTCTGGGTACAACCCCCGAGGAAATTCCCGGCCAAATTGAAGGGGTTAGAATATTGCAGACCGAGGGTGTGAGCCATGAATAGAAATAAACCAGGACAGAAGGGAATTCGTGTCAGCTATTTCCTCCGGACAGTGGCAATGTCTACTGCTAAGAAATTTACAAACTAGGGGAGACTTAGAGTCCCTCAAATTTGGACTCTGGAAAGGGGACGATTGAGGGTCACAGGGGACTGTCAAATGGGACTCTCACTGTTCGGCGGGTGAAGAGTCTGAGTTCCAGCGCTGGTGGGGACAACACCCCAGCACCGGGGCAGGGGCAGCCGAGGAGTGGAGGGGCCAGGGGAGAAGTGGGTTTTTGTGTTAGACTGACCCGGGTTCAATGATAGCTTTTTTACTTGCTAAAGAGGTAGCCTCGGGCTTAACCTTAACCTCTGTGGGACTACTTCACCTCTCTGATCTTTGACTCTGTTAAGTGGAGACAAGTGCCTCCTTCTAGGTCTATTGAAATTTTTCAGCATAGAAACTTGAGTATGGTAATTGACACAGAGATGAACTCAATAGTTATTACTACTATCATGGATAATAATTATTATCACCTTCTCTTCTGAGGATAACTTTAGGGGAAAAAAGTGCTTATGACCGGTCATTATGCCTCTTCTTTGGATCCTCTGTTGCAAGGGTTCTTAACCTGATGTCCCAGAGCTCCTAAGAGGCCCATGGATAGATATCTGGAGGGTGGGGGGTTAAATTGGATGGGAAAAAAAATTTGCCATTGTTTTTATTAACCTCTAATGAAAATTTAGTGTTTCCTTTTTTTATGACAGCATGCAGCAAATCACAGCAGTGTGAGCAATACCGACCATACTTTGGTCAACAATACAAAATTACTTATCTTTTCATATCACAATAAAATTGTTGCACATACCTCAAAATACTTCAATTGGAATCATATTTCAAAAGCACAGTAGTTCTTAGATCCTCGACTCATCAGCCCACTGCTGGAGCACATGTGATCACTGTTTTCCTGTCTGCAGATGTTGGCGTGGTGGAACTGGCCACCAAGACAACTATATTATAATTAAATATTCAGATATATTGGTTCACTTTGTCATCCTATGCCCTTTGTTTTATGCATTTTAAACAATATTCTTCACTGGAGTTCGTAAGCTTTGATGGAGGCACAAGAAAGATGAGAACTCTTCAATTAGGAGACCTCACTCTCAGGAGGGGCTCTGCTAACTCATAGGTAGGGGAGCTTTTGGGGGGGTGCGGGGGAGTAATTAGGTTTATTTACTTATTTACTTAAATGGCGGTACTAGGGATTGAACCCAAGACCCCATGCATGCTAGGCATGTGCTCTACCTGAGCTATACCTCTCCCTAGGGAACTTCTTTGTGAACTCACTTGTCTATTGTGCTGGCCAAAAGCAGACAATTTCTTAGACAATCCCCGGTCAGGGGATCTAGACAATCTAGGTCAGGGGATCCTGTCACTTGAGAGGGGCTCCCTCTGTACAACAGATGTAAAACATCAAGAGAGAAAATGTCTGTGACCTTCCCCAGGAGCCGGATGTCTGGAGCACCCAGTGGAAAGGAAAGTTGCCCAACTAGAGTGATGGCCCCAAGGGATGGTAGAGCAAAGTCAGTGCATGGCCAGCTGAGGAGGGCAAACAAGGAGAGGATGCAGAAGAGAAAGTGGAATAAAGAAGCCAGAAGAACAAAGCCCTTAGCAATAGGGGCTGTACAACCTGCAGACTGAAAAAAAAAAAAAAAAAAGCACGGAGAAAAAAGGAGGAACTTGAAACAAAGGACAATGAAACTAAACAACACAATGGTAGTGAATACTTTATTTTGTTGTATTTAAAACAAGCAAATTTGGAGGGAGTATTTCCTCATGGTCCCCCTCCCCTTCGCCCCCATTTTCCCATGATGCTGATCAACTGCTTTATTCCATTTCCCATCTTTCTTCTTGTCCAGTTATCCAGGCCTTTCCCTTTTTAAATACATGATCCTTAGTCTTGTCTTTGAAGGACAAAGAGCTTCCCATGTGTTAGGAAAATGTAGAGTCTGGCAGTCCCTGTAACAACTCGCCGTATTGCATGTTCTGACTCGTTCGTTTGGCTTCGAGCATTCGCAATCCGTCCTCCGACTCTGGGGAAGTATCTGTCTCTTTCAGAACACGAAACAGTTCAAAAGGCCCCTTGCTAGAGATTTGCAGGCATATGACTGGGAAACACCATATAAACAGTGAGAAAATAAATCTTTTCAGGTGGTCAGATTTTTCTCCTCCATGGTCTTACGAAAAGCAACTAGAAATCTTTCATTTAATAAACACATGCACATATAAATATATACAATAGCCATTGGAATGTGGTATTTATCCTTGTAATGTTTCTCAAAAACATTACTTCAGACCAGAGTTTATCTCAGATAGTCTGAGAACTGTCACTCAGTAGACTACCTCCAGACTGTGTTTTATTTTCTAATTCCTAAAAAAGTTTGATTGCTACGTTCGAACACTGACAACACGTGAGGATGCCAGTCTTTATACACACTTATAAAAGTAGAACATGTGGCGTATAATACACTAGTACAAAGTTTTACAAATTAATACAAGTAAAATATATAAATTACAGTGACATCAGGGAAGATTGTGGTTGTGTCTTGGAGTGGTTCTCTCAGCAGTCGTATTGCTGTAATGAAAATGAAATATGCATCAGGTTCTGTGCAGGCTTAACAAACAACAATGACATTTCAGTGCTTTACATTCCTGTTTTTAGCAAGCATAAAGCAGACTGGTCTCAGCTTCAGCAGCGGTTTGGGGAACAACACTGGGAGCTTAGACGATGCTCACAAAATGTTACCTAATCATACCAGACCATTGTCCTTCCCAAGTGAAAGCTGCAGAAAGGGTTCATGGAAACCACAGCTTACAATGCTTGGTTGGCTTTGAATATACTCGGCGTGGGTTTTTAATCTCAGGGTTTTAAGAGCTAATGCCATGGGAGTTTTATAATGGAGCCGGCTCAGCATTTGAATGAAATGCTTCCAAGTTACAGATTTGACTCAGGTACACTGAAAAGCTTGCTCTTTGAAACAGTCTTTTGTCTTACAAACAAATGTAACAGATCTGCCCTGCAGTGTCTGGGAAGAAGCCATCCCTACTGAGACTCACATGGGAAACCCAGTGGGACTACTGGTCCTCACCCCCACCCCCCGCCCCTGAACTCAGAGGAGAGTATCATTCTGCCAAACCACTACAGCAATTTTGGGCATTGACACATTATGCCTGTCCCCAAAATGCACAAGCACTGAAGTCCATCTAATTTAAACTCTGCCTTGTAGGAAATTCAAGGCTAAAAATAGATTATTTTACAGTAATCCCAGGAGCACTCTCCTCTGCCTCTCCCCAGCCATACTGCCTGGAAACAACTCCATATTGAAGGTTTCCCACTCTTGTTTTCTTGGAAATTTGGCAGGCCCCCAAGGCAATTATTAATCTTGCTGTGCTGGCCTGATAAGGAAAACTGGATTTTTATTTTAACTTTCCCTCAAAAATGATAGAAAGTTTCCATTTATTTACAGCTGAGTTTTTCACGGTAGCAATGGGCTTTTAGTTTTCATTAGATTCTGCCTGATTTTCAAAGAAAGTTCAGAAACCTTGAGCCAGTGGAGTAAATGGTCAGGAAAATACAAATTAAATAAGGATTGTTTCCCTAATCCTCTTTTATAGAATAAGACATAAAACAAAGCCCTTGAAATTGGACCCAAACTGGACTTCCATCAGTTCAGTGATATATGTATTTTAGGGGAATATAGGAACAAGAACTTTCCCGGCTGCTAACAAATGCATATTTCTCTTCGAAATCATATCCCCAGGAAACAAGTGCTTCCTGGTTTTCTTTCACAGTGAAAGGCTTTGAACGAACTGCTATTCAAAGGCTGCTAGTGATTCTCTAAGCTTAACTGTTGGGACATTATTGTGACTCCTTATCAGGAAGGAACCGCAGAAAACCCAACAGAACAGCATGTGTTGTTGTGCACAGGTTAAGAGCAGGTGCTGTGGCATTAAATGACCCAGGGTTTGAAGCCTGTTGCTTCCTGATGAAATGATTTTAGAAGCATTGCTTCATCTCTGCGTCACAGGCTCATCTGACACCGAGGCTGAGCGCAATGCCTAGTGCAATGGATGTTGCCTGTTATTTGTGTGTATCATTTAGCGGCACAAGAACAAGCAAAGAGAAGGCACTTCTTTCGCGTCTCTGCAGCCAGAGCAGGGGTAGTAAAAGGGGTACTAGGTTAGGTCCTGAAGGGGCACTTTGTCTCTGGGTGAATGACATTTTCTTATATACAGAGAGCAACTGCAAAGAACCAAGATAACCCAGTGATTGTCACACTCAAGGAAGCTTACTACTGAGAGCAAAACAGAATGCTGTAAATATTTTGCTGCGAAGATGATGTAGGAATAAACGCTGGTAGGTTGGGGGGATTTTGCCCTTTTTCTCTATGATGAGCACAATGATGCCTGGTGGTAACTGAATACCCGAGGGCCAGGCTTTGACATTTCCCACAGCTTCTTACCTGTTGGCGAGAGCAGCAATAGCCACATATGCCTCCAAGCAGTCCATTTATTACTTGAATGAGACACAAGATAAATTCAATTCCACCAAGTGCCAAGAGGATAGAAAACAGAGAGACATTCCATTCCACCACGTGCTTGGGTTCCTTGCACTGGGACCATGTGGAGCTATCCAGAAGGTAGCTGGGGATAAAAAGAGAAACTTTGACACACGGTCACATCCACGGGGGTCTCATAAGCCTACTTTTTGTACAGTGTTTTGTCATTCAGAAAAAATGAAATATATTCACTCAGTGACTTAGATTCTTCTACACCAAGTCATTCCACAAAATGAAGAATTCAGCCCAGCTCTCGTTGCAATGAAAAACATAAAATTCCACAAAGATTATCGAGCACTCAGTGTGAGTTAGACCTGGTGCCAAGGCTGGGGATATAATGGCATGGACTCTGTCCTGGAAGAACAGAGCTTAAGAGAAGAACTAGCAGGCAATGTCAATTTGACAAGTTCACTGATCAGGTAAACCCAGTGTCAAAGGGCCGCGGAGGAAGGACACCTTCCTTAGGCCAGAGAGAACAGCTGCATATGTGTGTCTATTCCACAGGTCTGAACTCCATAAAGGCAGGAACCAGACCTACTCATCATTGTATATCCAACCCCTAGACCAGTATTCGCTAAGTAACACATTTTAAAAGTAATTAAATAACAATCCATTGTCACTTTGTGAAATGTTGGCAAACCATACTGGGTCACTATTTGAATATATTATATGTATTCATTCTTAATGAGATAGGGTTCAATCAGCTGGGAAAATCTAGGCTTGACTTAATTCCACAAAGAGGTCTGCTGTAATTCTTTCCTTATCACTTCTTCCTGCCACAACTGATTAAAGGGACTGGGAATTAGAGGCCTAACTTTGGAATGGTTCACTGAGCCAGTCAGAAATTTAATTCATTGATTTAAAAAAATTAAAAGTCTGTGTTTCTGGTCCTGTATTTCTACATATAAGTGGAACAAAAATCCATAATTTCAAGGAACAGTGGGAAAAATTCAAGGAAAAATTCTTTGGCCCCAGTTGGCTATTGAGGAAAAAAATCACTGGCTTGTTATTCCCATATTGAAATCTCTGGACAAGTGGAAATGAGGAATGACATAGACGCTTCTTGCAGAAGCTGGAGTGGGTCACGGGAGGGAAGGGCTCACAGTCAGCTCTAAAAAGCATTTAGTGATACTCTCACCTCTCCACGGATTTCAGCTGCGTTAATCTTAACTTTTTTAAAGGTGGGTTTATGCAGTAGTTTGCATGTTTGTGCATACATGAATAATCAGTTTCAACTGGTACATTCAGTGTGTTCTGAACAAAGTATGAAAAGTATGTTCTGAAAAATCACGATCAATAGCAATTGTGAACACCAAAATTTCAAACTCCTGTAAGTGTTGATTTTCCTTCAGAGTGACCATTGAGCTGTCCTCATTGTGAACTAGTAGTTAACTCTGACAGTTAACAATGGCAATGCTCACCGTGTGTCAGCTTCTGCGACAAATACTTTACATAGAGTATCTTATTAATCCTCCTGACAACTGCCATTGGTTTTATTTTACAGATGGAATAACAGAGGTGCAGAAAGCTCAGTTCACTTTTTCTTGGTTACTGAGAGAGTAAATGCAGAGCTGGGGTTGAACACGGGTCTAATTCCATGTCCATGATGTCATGACCTCACTATGTGCTAAATAATTCATGGTGGGACAAACATTCTTGAGAATATAAGAGCAATTCAAATTCATTATTCGTATTATCTTCACTCATGAATCTCATGACTAAACTGTCCATAATCCAAAACAGGATGTCATTCGTTTATGATTATGTACATCGGTTTTTATCACTACTTCTGTTCTTTTCTCAGTAATAGGTAAGACATGAGTGCCAACATAAAGCAATGGAGCCACGTAAATTTCCTGATGTTAAAAGTCATAAATAAGATCTATCTTACACAGCCTGGTCATTTTAAATAAAGGGTGTGCTATGCATAGTTATTATGCTATATGTGCATATGTTTGGGGGTTGGGGGTAGTAGGATTTACCTGAGCTTTGGTTAAATTCATATAGTTTTCATCCATATTATACACAGATCCCCTAATACTTTCTTAGAAAGTAGTAAAATCAGCCAATTGTGCTGGCATAGTATACACACCATATAAGCACAACCTTTACAGCCAGGCTGCCTGGGTTCAAATCCTGACTGCCATGTCTTAGCAAGGGGAGTCTTTGAATAAGTTATTTCATCTCTCTGTGCCTCTGTTTCCTCATCTGTAAAATGGGAGCAACAGTGGAAGTCATCTCATAGGATTATCATGAGGACTGAGTGGGTGAATCCACTAAAAAGCTTCTCCAGGTCAGGGACAGAGCCTCCATCCTGCCACACCCAGTGCCTAGATTGTGCCTGAGTCCCTGAGAATAATAAAACTGGTTGAGTGGATAGATGAATGGATGATTGATACTTTTTCGTTTGATGGGTTTAGCACTATACACACGTGGTGGATAAGAATGTGCCGCCGGATGGGGGACCATCACTTACTGCCCCTCCGTGTTGGCAAAGGTGTAGTTCCACTGGCCGGTGTTATCAAGGCACACTGGTCCTTCCGCTAAGCCCAGCGCTGCCACGATGACGCAGTAGCCAGATCCTGTGATTCCAACGAGAGCAGCCAGGATAGAAGACAGCATCTACGGAAAGGAGAAACCCCGGGAGTGAGGCGCGCTGCGTCCACGGCTGCGCCGCGGGAACCCCCTCCCCACCCCGCACCCCCGCGCCCCGGAGCCGGAGGACCTACCGAGCACCTCTTGCCGCAGTTTTCGTGGCCGCTGCAGCCGCAACAGTCATCCTGCTCCAGGCCGATGAAGACGAATGCCGGCAGGAATATCTGGTTAGAAAACAGGCAAGCTGAAGTCACTGTCTTTCCCCAGGCCCAAAAGGGTCAGTCAGGCTAAGCATTTTGGGGTAAAATACTTTTCTTTGTGACACGGCTGAGTGTCTTTGGATTAGGTGGACCAAGAACCTCAAAGAATGTAAAACCCTGAGGAGGAAAAACAACCTCTCAGTGTAATATCCGCTTGTTTTCATGTAATGTTTCACATTACGTAGGGTCAGGGCGCAGTGCGAGAAGTAAAATAATCCCCTGTGAATGTGTTTATCCCGTAAGCGTTCACAACGTAGTTTCAGAAACAAACTCTGGTTCGAAACTATTAAGGCCTGTCTTTAAATCTGTTTGTTTGTTTTTGTTTGTTTTCCCTTGTAAAGCACAGAAGATAACAACAAATCTTTAACAGAATAACTGAAACTTTTTTCATAAGCAGGAGAGATGAAAGCTGTGTATACTCAATGTGATCTGCTTCTTTGAAAATACCACCGCACAGTTGTAGCTTCACAATAAAACTCTTAAGGTAAGTTTGAAATACTTAGAGTTCAAGATCAAAAGAAGTTTAAACCAACACAAAGTTGTATTAAAGATGAATCATTATGTTAGCATGGATAGCAATGCTCAAATTCAAAGTTGAGTTGCCATGCCAGAAGTAGTATATTAAGTTTAAATACCCTTTATCTGACTAAGAAAAATACTCTTTACGGTATTAGCAATTCTTTCAAAATTCTCAATCCCAGCGTTTCTAAGTGGCAAACTCAAGTTTGTCCACATTCTTTCCATGCTGTGGTTAAGGCTAATACCTTCAGCTCCCAGGTTGGCAGGCAAATTCCTCTCACTTCACTTATAAGCAAACTTTGGGGAAAAAACCCCAATACATTCCACTATTAGCTTTAGACACTGATTTGCTGTGAACTGAAGGATTTTTCCTAAATGCCACACCCCAGTCTTACATAAAGGAGAAAATTTATAGTTCTTTCTAAATAGCCATGCACTCACAATTCATTATTTTGCCCTGTCACAGACACTTGAGAATAAACAGCAAAGAATTTAGATCCAAAATTCCATTGATTTAGACAGAGAACCAGCCGACCCCTCCGAGCTCCCCAGAGCCCAGAGCAAATGTTCAATGAGTGCCAGCTCCAGTGCCAGAAACTCTCTGGTTTCTCAAATCTGATTTAAAAGCTATTTTCTGTTTCAAGCTGTAAAGTAAGAGAGTTTAGCAAAAAGGGAGTTCACTTTTCCTTGAAAGGGGATTTTGTAAAACATCTAATCAAATGAATACACTATACGTAAATCTCAACTTGCATATAATCTGCTTTCAAAAGAAGAATGAACAAAAATCCTGGATTTGGAAATATGCTTTAGAGAAACTTTTCTATGAAAACAGCTTGTTTAACAGGAGAGCATTTCTTTTTTAAGGTTGAAATCATTCTGAACGACTTACCAGCACGCCCCCTCCTATGATGCCAGAGAAGAACCACACAAAGCGGCTGAGATGGTCTCCCGATGCGTACTTTGTTTCCCCATTGGGAAAGTAAAGCAGAATATTAGCTACAATGCAGAGGACGGCGAGCCACACCAGGGAGTGTCCGATGCATCGCGCGCATTTCCCGTAGCACATGGTGGTGGAGTTCAGCTTTTCACCCCTTCACTCTGATGGCCCAGATCAGATGAGAGCGTGCCCGTCTGTAAAGAAAGCAAAAGCAATTCTCAGTTCATCCCTGCAGCCTCTTAAATACTCTGAGTTCTTAGTCACCGGGTGGATGAGGTCCTTGGCTTTCATTGGTCCCGACTGCAGGCTCCGGGTGGGGTTGGGGAGAGCTGGGGGAGTGTCCCGCCCGTCACATGAAATCCTTGGGACAAGCGAAACCAGGGGCAGGACGTGAGAAACAGCCTCAGTCATAGGCAAGAAGGAAAATGATTAATCCTCAACAAGGAATTCAGTGTGTAACTCCTTCATGGGATGGAAAAACAAAATCAACAGGAAAGCCTAATACAACTTCCCAGTAAGTGCCAAGCGTCCGCAGGGTGACAGCCCTTGTTGAGGCTTTTGAAAGACAGTAGGCTGTGATTTTACTCCTCGTAGCTGTCTGGACGGCAGCCAGTCTGAGGGCTCTGTGTTCACTTCCACCTCTGCGCTGATTTAATCCGAGACCTGGGGCAAGTCTCCTGAGCTCTGAGCTCGTTTCCTTGTCTATTAAAGGCAAGGTGTCCGAGCCATCTCACACAGATTTAAGGAGGCTGTGGAAAATGACCCAGCTGCCTTGTCTCCCCTGCTTTTAGTATGCTCTGCAGGACGGCACCTACTGTCCAGCCTTCCCGGACATCTGCCTCCGAAACAAATCTGGCACCAAAACAAAGGTGGCATTAGTCAACACAAAGGGCTCGGGCACCTTTTGATTCCTGAGGCTTGCTGTCAGGAGAAGTGATGCCAGGAAGGGCCAGAGGAGACCTAAAGCCTAGGGGAAGGATAAAGAGAAGCAAAAGAAAGAGAAAGAAAGGAACAGATGAGAAAGGAACTTGGCAAACAGAGTAGGGAAACAAGATGGAGAGAGCCCAGAATGACTGGGAGAAACACACGTGGCTGAGGAGGGCATGGGGCGGGAGGCAGTCCACCAGCCAGACCCCAAGATGAGCTGTCGTGGGCTCGAATGGAAAGGCAGAGAAAGGGTGCTAGATTAACTTTCTGACGTGGTTATCTTGCAGAAGGAGGGGTCGGATTCTGAATAAGCTTCGCCCTTGAATAACAGGTGACACAGACCAGCTGGGTCGAGGAAGGACAGGGTGGCCAGATGGGGCCAGGACTGGAGAGGCCCCCTACCCAGGATGGAACGGTGAGCACAGAATAGAGGCAAAAAGCCAAGACACAGAGTCATTAGTTTAGAAGAAGAAGGTGAGCCTGGCTGGTGAATCTAGAAGCTCAACCTGAGGCCAGATTCTAAAGGATTTGGACCAAATGTAGAGGACAGGATACGCAGCAACTTTTAGGGGCCAGCTGGGGTTGGTGACATGGGATCTGGAGTGGGAGGAGGACTCAAGAGGATGCATGGCCTCAGCCTATTAAGAGGGGTGTGTATCCAGAGGGGCTGGAGGAAAGAGATGGATGGAAAACTGAGTGTAGGCAGGGAGGCCTGGAACCACCTACATACTCAAGGGTAGGGAGGCAGGTCTTTACAAGAACATCACACTCCATCACCGCTGTGTGTTCAACAACCGGGCAAGTGTGCCCTCTGTCCTGGCTTCAAGTCTTATGGGAGACAGGATTCCACAGGTGTCAGGGCTTGGGGTGGGCCGTGCAGGTGAATGACAGGGTCCTTTGTTGAGGCGTCATCATTCTAAACCTCCACTCTGCGGATCTATCCCCCCTGAAACCAACAGGCAGGAGAGCGATCCTTTGGTGACTTTGCCTCTAAGTGCTTAAATCCCCTTCCTCCTTCTCTCCCTGACCTTTGCAGGGAGAAGAGAGTGAGGGGCTTGGCAAGAGAAAATCTGGGATAACAGCCCAACTCTGCTGTTATCAAACTTTGAGGATCAGGCAAACCAAGTACCTCCCTGGGACTCTGTCTCCTGCTCTCTGAGACAAGGGGTGGCCTCGATCAGTGGTTCTTAAGTTCCTGAGAGTCTTGTAAAGATATGGACCCTCTCCCAAGAAAGAGAAATATACAAATATGCAATTTGTACGCAGGTTTTCATTCCACTTCTGAGGGTTCATGGACTCTCTGAAGTTTGTTAGTGGATTCTCTTCCACATTTCTCAAGGTAGGGGCTGTCCAGAGATCGCTTAGCATCACAGAGCAGATTCCTGGTCCCTCACTCGACATAATGAGTACGAATTTCTGGGGGTGAGACCGATCATCTGCATTTTTCACAGACATTTCAAGTGAGTCATATGTTCACTTAGGTGTGGGGCTCACTGGCCTGGTCCACGGCTCAGGTAAGTATCATTTGTATCAGATGTTCTCCAAGGCCACTGTCACCGCCAATGGCTCCTCAGCTCTGGCCAGACATATAATGCACGCATGAACTGGGGGGGATGTGTTGCCATTCAGCGTAGGGCACTTTCAGGCTTGAGCTGCCAAAAGTTTCCTGTAATATGGAGTCCCTCCCCCTTGCCCACCCTCCTGTCATTCTATATGGCTCCCTCTGCTTCTCCAGCTCAGCTGATAACTTCAAGCAGGGTCTTCCTGGTTTGGGTTTTTGGTTTAAGACCAGAGATGGTTTTCTGGACAATTTCTTTAACCACTTGGCTCTGGTCCTAGCCAGACTTTTCCCTACAGAGGACCATGGCCTTTCTCATAGCTGTGAACTCAGTTTTCTGTACAGAGCTGCTATCTCCATGGATTTCACTCCACTCTCCAACTCCCACCCCTAGTGCTGCCCCCACCTCTACATTCCTGTCTTCCGTGTTTTGATCCTCATCTTCCTCAGGAGCTTCAAGCTGCAGGATTCTGCTCATCCATCCTCTCAAAGAGGTCCCCTCCGAGGACCCCATCTGACGATGCTGTGCCCGTTCCCCAGCTTCTCTTCATCACACTCCCCTGTTCTACTGTCATCCCAGAATTTATCATCCCTGAAATTATTGTGTATTCACTTGGTTCCTTTTCCATTGTCTGTCTCTGCTCCCCTCCCCTCTGACTATGGGACACTTTCTGCCGTGTCCATTATTTCCTCAGTGCCTGGGACAGTACCCGGTGTGTAACACGTGCTCTATAAATACTTGCTGAAAATTGAACGAATAAATAAATGAATCAATGGATTTTTAAGCCTACTGCTAACAGGCTGGTGGCCCAGTCCCTCCACTGTTAGTTGTCTTTGCCTGTCTGTGAGTTCACCATCTCCCTCCCTCAGAGCCTCTTACCTTTGGAGTCCAGGACACTGCTCCTTGGTCCTGCCAACTGCTGGCTGTTCGCTTTGGGGCAAGTAACTAACCATTCTGTACCTCATTTCCCATCATTCATTCATTCACCAATATATATTGAGCTCCTACTATGTTTTCTAAGTGCCTGGGACGCAGTAGAAAACAAAGAAAGATCTCTGTCCTTAAGGAGAGTCCATTCTATCAGAAGGAGTGAGACAAATAAAAAAGAACGCTAAGTAAGTAAAGCACATTGTGTGTTGGTGATAAGTGCAGGAAAGGGGAATGGGCGAGGAAGAGGGCCTCCTGAGACAGGATAATAAAAGAGAGCCGCATCACAGGGCTGTGATGTGTGAAGTGAGTCAACGTGTGTGAGGCATGAGGCACCTGGCAATTGCATTTAGCAATTGCGATGTAAATGTTACTTATTATGCTCATCAACCCAGTCTCCGAGGTAAGATGTCTCTGCTCCACTTATGATTCATTTTACCCATGTCCCTGGGATTCCATCAGTCCAATATACTCTGGATCCTTTTATTATCTTTTGTGACTAATGTTTAAATACTGGAGTTCCTACAGTTATTAAAAGCTCACTTTTATCTCCCTCATTCCCTCTGGAATCAGTCTCAATCTATGAATACCTTTGAAAAGAGTGTCCTTTTTTTTTCTGCACCACAGAAGTGCAGGTCCCTGAGCCCTGGAACCAGTTCTCAACCCCATGTTTGGGGTTTGCCGTCCCACTGCCCAGAGGGCCCTATTTTTCCTTCCTACCTTGGTCCATCTGCCTGGCTTTGCCCCCTTGGCTGAACTCATCACTTTTTCCATGACAGTTTCCATCATACCCCTGCCTGCCTCCAAGACCTGCTCATCATTCCCATTTTGTCCTTGAACACAACCCATCAGCGCCAATCAAACCACGACTCCCTAATGTGTCTCCATGTCAGCCTCCCCAACTCCACCGAGATCCGAGAGAGCAGCTTCTCTTTTCTCCTTTGAAGGCACAGCAGCGATCACAGTGTCAGGCATTTAATTGGCTCGCAATAAATGTGCGAAAAATTTTGTTCAAATAAATAGGGAAGTTCAATGGGTTTAGTTCTAAGACGATTTGTTTTTAAGCAAAGTCAAAATGTCTTATGAAAAGCTAGGCAAAATTGGCATTTACTATATTTAAATTTGGAGAATTTTGGTTTTAACCATCATTCACTTGAGCAGCTGTTACGTGCCGCTTATAATTAGCTCTCTTAACCATTTGGTGTGTGGAGTGTGACTTCAAGAATAATTCCAAAGAAAATTCCTTTTGATAATATATAGTGCTGTATGAGCCTAGGTTGTCATGTTGGAAGACACCTCAGCTGAGTGAGTGATTCAGTTCAACTCCCACCTCTTCACAGAATCTTTATGGCCATTTTATAGTTAAACCCACAGGGGTTAAAAACTCTTCTCAATGTCATTTAGCTAATGGGTAGTGGAAACGAGTTGCCTTTAAGAACTAATGCCAATAGTCTATGGTTCTATGTGGTTGTGCAATTCTAAGAGGAAGATTTGAACTCAGATCTCCTGCCTTCTTGTTTCTTTCACATGTATTTTGTCTCTCTTGTTGGGAAAGCGCCTGTTTCTCACTCATTTGACACTTGAAGAACATAATAATTCATACGTCGTAACCATCCTCATTAGTCTTTTTGATTGTAAATAACAGAAGCCAGTTCCAGCGGCCTTCACCCGAGGGACATTCATTATAAACTCCAAAGGTAGAGATGCAGATGGGACAACAGGAGCCATGAACAAGGGGAACCAAACTCTGTAGGAAATCCAGGATGTCCTCCTCACTCTCCATCTTAAATCTTTGACTCTTCCATCCATAACTTCACTCTTCTTAATGCA